CCCCCCCATCACTTCCTGTCCGGGAGATTCCCCCCCCCCATCACTTCCTGTCCGGGAGATTTCCCCCCCATCACTTCCTGTCCTGAAGACACAACAGGAAGTGAAAGGAAATATTTACAAAATAATACACCCGAGTACTCTCAGGAGCCCCTCAGCCCCGATTGCAAGCAGTGGGCCGGCTCGTGGGAGGAGTTATGCAAATAGCAAAATATCTTGCTGTGTGGGTGTCAGTCTGGAGGAGTGGGAATCGGAGATCTTGCTGCACTCCTTACCGGAACATCTGGGGACCCGTGAAGACGGGTGGGTGTTTGTAGTCACCACCAACGGCACCGTGAGAAACTCAAATGAAGAAATAAGGTCCAAATGGTAATTTTAGTCCCTTCAAGGCAATGAATGCCAATGTGTCAATAATGGACTATTGCTAAAATTACCATTTGGAGTGCTGGCGACTTTATTTCTTCAGTCTGGAGGAGTGGGCGGTCCCAGGCAGGGTGTATTTGCATGCAGACCACCCTTAGGTAACGCCCACATGTGATGCGGGGCCTCCGTGATTGAAGGAACTGAAATCCAATGAATGAAAGGGGCGGGGCCAGGAACAGTCAGGCTGGGGAGGATGGGCTAGATGATGCTGGACCCGACTTGCTGCAGCTTCTAATGCACATTGTGAGGAGCTCCCGGCGTGCAGTGACATCAGAGGAAGAGCCGGTACAACTGGGCAAGGGAAGGGCGGAACTCAGCTTAACATGTCCTGATATAATATCTGTGAGGTAAACCGTACACGTCCGGCACACCAATTATTACCACCGGAACGCCGAACAAAAAAAACAAAAAACATACTTCAGGGGAAGGTGTACGCTGATTGGCTGGTATTTGGGCCCTCCCCCCCGTGTTTATCAGACATAAAGGTATCCAATGCAGGCGTCTGCCGGAAATGGGCCACATCTCAGATTGCTATATAATGACGCTCACCTGAGTGGGCGGAGTCTGGCGTGGTGCGGTAGCTCTGGGTGGGGGAACGCGGGGACAGAACGTGAGTGGGAGATCCGGGAACACTCTCCCCCGAGGACAGCGAGCGGTTCAGAGAGGACAGGCTGCGGCTGGTGTGCAGAAGTGACGCTTGCTTTGTGATCTTCCGAAACAGAGAACTTTTCTTCTTACTGCGGAGAGGACGGAAAATCATCAAAAGTCCAAAAAAAACGAAAATAACATTCCCCAGAAATGTGATTCGGGTCTCTTAATCTCCAATCCTGACAGCCAGAAGCCCCACCCCCCACTTGTCTATTACCCTCCCTATTTTGGTGTCATCCGCAAACACGGAAATATCGCTCTTAACACCCTCCCCGATGTCATTAATAAATAAGTTGAACAATATGGGACCCAGCACAGAACCCTGAGGCACACCGCTCATTACACTAGCCCAGTCTGAAAAGGTGCCATTTACAGATACCCTCTGGACACGTTCCCGTAGCCAGTTCTCTATCCACGTACACACCACCTCATCTATGCCCATAGCCCTCAGCTTGTGTAGCAAGCGTTTGTGTGGTACCGTATCAAAAGCCTTTGAGAAATCCAGATATACCACATCCACCGGCTTACCTCCGTCCATATCTCTACTTACCCCCTCATAAAAAGTTAGCAAGTTAGTTAGGCAGGAACGGTCTTTCCTGAACCCGTGCTGATTGTCATTAACTATCCCGTTTTCCTGAACAAATTCTACCAGATAATCCTTTATTATGCCCTCTAGCATTTTACAAACTACCGATGTTAGACTGACCGGCCTATAGTACCGGCCGGTACCAGTGACGGCAAGGACATGGCGCTCTCATACCGGTACCAGTGACGGTAAGGACATGGCGCTCTCATACCGGTACCAGTGATGGTAAGGACAGGGCACTCTCATACCGGTACCAGTGACGGTAAGGACAGGGCACTCTCATACCGGTACCAGTGACGGTAAGGACAGGGAAGCGCTCTCATACCGGTACCAGTGACGGCAAGGACAGGGCGCTCTCATACCGGTACCAGTGACGGCAAGGACAGGGCGCTCTCATACCGGTACCAGTGACGGCAAGGACATGGCGCTCTCATACCGGTACCAGAACACGTCTTTACCTCTCTTGCCCGTCCTTGCTTTTACTCTTCTTTATGCGGCGAGCCATTTTAGACTTGTGAGCGGCCTTCCTCGCCGGCCCGACTTTTATCGACGTGTTCTCAAAGGGAGTCGTGGATATGGAGACTTTATTCCCACTCTGAAATATGAAATCAGATCAATACAAGGATCAATACTACGATCAATACTACAATCAATACATGATAGAAGACAATTCTCACATTGCCAGACACTGGAGACAGCAGGGGGAGGGGCACCGTATACCGGGGCGGAGCTCTACAACAGTAAGCATTATTTTACATCCATATCTGGACATTTGGGGAGTTTCTGTCCAATGAGAAGCCGCCGCAGGTTCGGTCAGCAGGATAAGAACACTTTTACCTTTCATGTTGCCATGACACTGGAAACATATTAAAGACCGCTGACGGTGCAAACTCTCATGCATGGACCAGTAATGAGAAATTACCGTCAGCAGCACTTCGAGTGGCACTTCGGGTTTCCTGTTCATCTCCGCAGTCTGGCGAGGACTAAGGCAAAGCGTTCACAGATTTACTGTATAATATATCTCGGAGTTTATATATATATATATAATGACGGACAGGATCCTCACAGCATTGTGCCCAGCGGTCCATAATCCACCATGCAGAAGGCTGCCGGTATATGGAGAGCCGTCCCCCAATTCCCTCCACCTTCCTACCTTCAGAACCAGCTCCACAACCTCCGTATGGACCAATCCATGAACCGCTTCCCCATTCACATGAGTGATGAGATCGCCTTCTCGCAGTCCAGCCTCGTGCGCCGGACCGTCATCTTCCACGTGCTGAAATTGAAGATGGAATATAATAAGGGGGGGGAGGGGATGTCCTATGGAGGTGCTCTGATTGGTTATAACTCTTCTCTGTGTTATTTGCATCGTTTTTGCTAAATTCCCCTTGTGAAAGTCTGTGCTGTAATTGCTGTATACAGAAGAAAAGGCAATGTCCGGCCACCGGAAGGGATCAAGGAAGCGCTGACATCACTTCCTGCTAGTGTGCGCTGCTGTTTCAGACTACAATTCACATCATGCAATGCAAATTGTAGTATTCGGCGGGCGTGCATGTGGGTGTGACAGTCTCCTAGCCTATCAATCACGTTAGACCATGAGCGGACGGGTCTGAGACTCGGCTCCTCCCACTACAGCGAGTGACACTGATCATAATGCCTCACTCACTAAAATATCAAAAAAATGAGGAAAAAAACTAGAAGAAAACACTTTTTTTCACAAGTTTTGATTATTATTTTGTTTAGAATTTTTAATAATAATTATAGTATAAAAAATATATTTATAGATCATTTTTATTTTCCCCAATTTTTTTTTAACAAAGTGTAAATTTTTAATTTTTTTTTCCTGTCAGTTGATATCACGATGACGGTTTGATAAATTAACTTTTTAAATTTTTGGTTATTATTAGGCCGCTCTAAACTTAGGAACAGCCAATAATAACCTCAGAGACTGATCCTGCTCAGACCATCAGAAGAGATACATTGTAACATTGGGCCTGAAATGTATCATGAACATCGGGCTATGGAGCTGTGACAACGAATAGCAGAGAGGAGACTCACTCCGCTGCCTCTCTGCTCTCTTCAGCTGTCATATACCGGATCGCTATTTAGTGCTCCCGTATTTGTATGTAACGGCTTCATTCTCTCATTAATGACTGGTAACCGCTGAGAATCACCGGCATTGCAGAGCCGCAAATAACCCGTCACGTACAGTGTACGTCTCCCGTCACGAAGGGGTTAAAGGAACAGACTACAGCAGTACAGATACACCTCCGACTGGAGTTCAGCTTCAACCTCCAGGGAGACTCGGCTATCTGCTCATGAAACTGATATGAGAACATAAAGAAATTCTACCCAGGAACCTGCGGCGTGATAATGGGGTGCGATGGCGGGGTGCGATATAGAAGGTAAATGTGTGTAAAGCAGAGAGACCATCGCGCTATACTCTATGATAACACTCACCCAGACCATGTGGTGCACGGTGTAGATATCGCTCTCCCCCATGTACACACGAATGGCTCGCAGGGTGAAGCCGTACTTCTTCCCCGCACGGTGAATGAGAAAAGGCGGTTTAGGGTGGGAGATGGCAGGAGAAAAGTCACGGCTTGGTGAGGAATCCCGCGATGACGGGTTGGAGGACAGAGAGCGAGGGGACTTGGGACTGGCCAGAGGAGAGCACATGTGGTGATCTGCAGAGGAAAGACTCGTTAGTACAGAACATCCATAAGCAATGTCTCTCTATAGAAATCTACACGTGTCGCAGCACACTACCAAACAATGATAACCGCATGTGTTCCTGCACTGTCCGGCATGCCAGAGGGGATCACTGGGGGCAGCACAATGGCCGACGTACCGGAGGGGATCACTGGGGGCAGCACAATGGCCGACGTACCGGAGGGGATCACTGGGGGCAGCACAATGGCAGACGTACCGGAGGGGATCACTGGGGACAGCACAATGGCCGACGTACCGGAGGGGATCACTGGGGGCAGCACAATGGCCGACGTACCGGAGGGGATCACTGGGGGCAGCACAATGGCCGACGTACCGGAGGGGATCACTGGGGGCAGCACAATGGCCGACGTACCGGAGGGGATCACTGGGGGCAGCACAATGGCCGACGTACCGGAGGGGATCACTGGGGGCAGCACAATGGCCGACGTACCGGAGGGGATCACT